GAAAAACATGCATATCCACTTTTTTGTAGCAAAAAATTATCTAACTCGCAACGATCATAAGTCAAATCACTAGTTTTTTATATTAAAATATTTCAATATTATGATTTAGATTATTAGTTTGGCAGGATATTTTAAGTTAGTTCAACCTTGATTACTTGAATTACATGTTTATTATGCTAACTCAGATTGATCAGGGTTAATTTTTTATGTTATTTTTTATTTTATTTTTTTATATGTGTTTAATAGATTATGAATTGAGTTGCATAATTTTTTTTAAAAAATATTTTTAGGTTATCCTAATCATATTTCTTTTTAAATTTAATTTATCTACTATTATTTTTTCTTCATTTAATTAAAATAAAGTTAATTTATTCAACTCAATCATATTTATAGCCGAGCTCACTTATTTTTCTTCCTTTTAAAAACACATTTGGGACAACTGAACTTCATTTTCTATTAAAAAAATAATAATTTCGGCTATATTAAAGGGGATTTATATCGAGAGGTAATTGATGGAGAAATTATCATATAACTCTGATTTTATCACTTGAGATTAAAATCAATCCGTTAAAATAAAAATAAAAATAGAGCATCCTATTTAACTATATCACTAATTTTAATGAAAACAAACGATAATTATAGTTTAAAAAATCATAAAGATTATTTAGCTATATCAAAAAATGCAAACAATTTTCTTTTGCATTTTAATAAAAAAATCTTCTTTTTTTTAATAATCATGATTGTTATTGGTTCATCTAAAAACAATCAACATGGCTTCTTTATAAAACTTCCTATATTTTTCATGATTGGATGATCTATGAATTCAATTAGCAAACTAAGCTCATCCAAATAATAAAAGTTTTAATTCTGTAAATTTTAACTAGCCACATTTTAAAAAAAGATCCAATTAAATAATTTTAAATACAAAATGAAAGATGAACATTGTGGATTTTTTTTCCTTGAATTATATTTATCTAACAATTATTTCAAAAAATAATTTAATATGAAATTTGTTTGGAGTATAATTATGATTAATTTTTAAATAATTTTTCATGTTAAAATATATATTAATAATTTTTATTTTTTAAAAATTATTTCTGATATCAACATATTAAAATAATTTAAAAATATATAAAATATATTAATTTAAAGTAAATAAAAAATAACTTTTTTAAAAAAATATAAAAATAAAAATAATACAAAAAAAAATCCAAATTCATGTGCAAAAACAAAAAGAAAGAAGAAAAATGGTCCCACCAGTGCTTCGCTTAGGGATCTTTTGATGATATGATGAAAATTCACCTCTTGGCCCGCGAAAGGAGTCAGAATTTTCTTCCATTGCTGTCATCAATCAGCAATCTGTCTGTACTCACGTTCGTCCTTGTACTGTTTCTGACTTTAGACTCGGTGTCCTTCTCTTCTATTTTCACATTTCAAATAAAAATAATTTTTTTAAAATTGATTGGTTTTTTTATTATTACAGTAGAGTTGAATGAGGTGATTTGTTCTTTCAGTAAAGATAAATTATTAATAAAATAAAAAGAAGAATTTTATGTATAATAAAATTACTTAAATGTCTTTGAATTAAAAAAAAAATTTAAAACTTCCATGTATTTTAGTATTCTTAGCTTGGATTTTTTTTTTGCAATACTCAGGTTGAATAAAGGGTGATTTAGTCTTTTAATAAGGATAAAATATTTATATATAAAAAAATAGTGGTATGTATATGATATGCACTAATGAGTCCGCACTGTTGAACGTCCGCACTGTCGATATTCAACAGTCAAAAACCACCTTTCACAGTGGTGTTGGAAACATACTAACATCCTTTACATTGTGGTGTGGTGCGTATGAATGATGATATCATAGTTGAGCTCTAATTGATTTTTTTTCTTCTTTTCTCTTTTTTCTTTCTTAACAAATTATAAAGTTGTCTCATTATTAAAGTTTTATATTCAATTTAGCCTTTTCTCTTTTGATTTTCATTTGTTTTGTTTTTTTAACTCTTTTTTTCATCAATTTTGTCCCTATGTTTTGTTTTAATTTTGATTTTTATATCAAATTTAATCCTTATTTTTTTATTTTTTTTAAATCTTTTATTAGTTAATTTGTTTTTTGAATTTTATTGCACAATATTTAATTTTAATTTATTTTTTATATTGAATTTGGTCCTTATTTTTTAAAAATTTTGGTTTTTTTTTGGGTTTTTTTATTGCATTTCTTTTTCAATTTTATTCCTTAATATTATTTTGTTAGGAGTTTTTCTTTATTTTTTTTTGTCGTCTATGAGGTTAGACTTGAGCTCATAATCAAGGTCATAAATTTAAAAAATTAAGATGGTTAAATTCGATACATTTTAGGTCCTTTCATAAAATTAATTTTTTTTTACAATTTTATCATTTAATATTTTTTTTTATAATTGATCTTCGTGGTTTTTTTTTTCCCACTTTCCTTCTCATGGGGTTATCCCATTAACATTATGCTCATGATAGCAGGTTTACAAGTTAACCTTGATCTTTTGTTTCTTTTTTTATATATTTTTTTCTGGTTTTGTCATTCAGCATTGGATTGTTTGATATTTTGAGTTTCATAGTTTTATTTAATTTGTTTTCATTAATTATTATTTTTACCTTTTAGTGGCATGAATAATTTTTTTATTAAACAAAAATTTATTCTAAAAAACAAAGTTACTAGATGAATTTTATTAGCACAAATAAGTTTTTAAAAGTATTTATTTCTAGATGATATTTCTAATATATGTAATTTTACATAATCTTTTTTTTTTCTTTTATTTTATTTAACAAATTTCATTTGTATCCATTTCTATTATCGTTTGATGAAATAAAAATTTAATTCTAGAAAACAAAGTCATTAAATACAATTGGGTCAAGGGCTAGTAATGTAAAATTAAATACCTTGATTTATATATGTTTCTTGATTTTTCTATTTTCATCATGGTTTATCGTTAATTTTTTTTTCATTTGTTAACATAGTTCTCAATTTATTTATTTACATATATGCATTAAATTCTTTATTTACACTTAGAATTTGTTTTGTACAAATACACGATGGATGGAAAAACATGCATATCCACTTTTTTGTAGCAAAAAATTATCTAACTCGCAACGATCATAAGTCAAATCACTAGTTTTTTATATTAAAATATTTCAATATTATGATTTAGATTATTAGTTTGGCAGGATATTTTAAGTTAGTTCAACCTTGATTACTTGAATTACATGTTTATTATGCTAACTCAGATTAATCAAGGTTAATTTTTTATGTTATTTTTTATTTTATTTTTTTTATATGTGTTTAATAGATTATGAATTGAGTTGCATAATTTTTTTTAAAAAATATTTTTAGGTTATCCTAATCATATTTCTTTTTAAATTTAATTTATCTACTATTATTTTTTCTTCATTTAATTAAAATAAAGTTAATTTATTCAACTCAATCATATTTATAGCCGAGCTCACTTATTTTTCTTCCTTTTAAAAACACATTTGGGACAACTGAACTTCATTTTCTATTAAAAAAATAATAATTTCGGCTATATTAAAGGGGATTTATATCGAGAGGTAATTGATGGAGAAATTATCATATAACTCTGATTTTATCACTTGAGATTAAAATCAATCCGTTAAAATAAAAATAAAAATAGAGCATCCTATTTAACTATATCACTAATTTTAATGAAAACAAACGATAATTATAGTTTAAAAAATCATAAAGATTATTTAGCTATATCAAAAAATGCAAACAATTTTCTTTTGCATTTTAATAAAAAAATCTTCTTTTTTTTAATAATCATGATTGTTATTGGTTCATCTAAAAACAATCAACATGGCTTCTTTATAAAACTTCCTATATTTTTCATGATTGGATGATCTATGAATTCAATTAGCAAACTAAGCTCATCCAAATAATAAAAGTTTTAATTCTGTAAATTTTAACTAGCCATATTTTAAAAAAAGATCCAATTAAATAATTTTAAATACAAAATGAAAGATGAACATTGTGGATTTTTTTTCCTTGAATTATATTTATCTAACAATTATTTCAAAAAATAATTTAATATGAAATTTGTTTGGAGTATAATTATGATTAATTTTTAAATAATTTTTCATGTTAAAATATATATTAATAATTTTTTATTTTTTAAAAATTATTTCTGATATCAACATATTAAAATAATTTAAAAATATATAAAATATATTAATTTGAAGTAAATAAAAAATAATTTTTTTAAAAAAATATAAAAATAAAAATAATACAAAAAAAATCCAAATTCATGTGCAAAAACAAAAAAAAAAGAAGAAAAATGGTCCCACCGTGCTTCGCTTAGGGGTCTTTTGATGATATGATGAAAATTCACCTCTTGGCCCCAGAAAGGAGTCAGAATTTTCTTCCATTGCTGTCATCAATCAGCAATCTGTCTGTACTCACGTTCGTCCTTGTACTGTTTCTGACTTTAGACTCGGTGTCTTTCTCTTCTATTTTCACATTTCAAATAAAAATAATTTTTTTAAAATTAAATTATTTTAATACACTAATATTAAAATAATTTTAAAAAATAAAAAAAACTATTTTAATATATTTCTAATAAAAAATATTACTATAAAAATTAAACCAGCTGCCGGTACTCTCTCCCCGAGGCTGCCACCCCAGATCCAACTTGCCTTGTTTACGATCTTTGCACGTGCATTCCTGTGGTCATTCTTTCACACATCAGGCCTCTGGTTTTCTAGGCACTTGGCCATTCAATCCCTTTCAGCGTGGAAATATCAGTGTCAAGCCAAAATTGCTGATTGAAGCCATGTCATCCAACTGTAAACAGCCACGCGTAAGCTCGGTCACTTCATTGGTACACATCACCAAAAAGTTGCTCCTTCGGAAACCCAATCCACTCATAATCTGCCACGCAGCACCGAGCCACTCTAGTCCCCCGGTGCACGTTAGCAACTACTCTCGCAACGAATATTAAAAAAAGAAAAAAGTGGCGGTGGACCAGGAGATCTCAGACGGACACTTCAACTTCAGGCCGATACTAACGAAGCTCACCCCCCAGTGCTGAACTTCTCGTCCCTTCAAAACCACTGTACTGTACAGAAGGGAAGACTGAAAACCCAATTCACTTCCCTTTCTCTCTCGAACGCCATAGATACGCAAAATGGCGTCGTTTGCTCTCACATCATCTTCTCTTTCTTTCAGTTCCCTCCCTTGTCTCAAATCCCGCTCTTTATCCCACCTAAGCTCCACCTCACAAAACCCCCTCCCTTCTCGTCCAAATCTCCCTAAACTCTCTGCTGTCTCTCCCTTACTTCCAAAATTATCCAAATCTAGCGTCACATCGACGACGCGGAGAATCTCTAACTTCGCAGTTAAAGCCTTGTCAGCATCATCCTCCCCTACATCAATTACACGAGCCTCACCACCATGGCAAGGAGCTGCAATGAAACCGTTACTAGCATCAATCGCGACAGGTGTCATTCTCTGGTTCGTTCCTGTTCCCGCGGGAGTTACGAAACCAGCATGGCAACTGCTCGCAATTTTTCTTGCTACAATAGTCGGAATCATCACGCAACCTTTACCGCTCGGCGCTGTAGCTTTGATGGGTTTAGGCGCTTCAGTTCTAACAAAAACCCTCCCTTTCTCCGCGGCTTTTTCCGCATTTGGTGATCCAATCCCTTGGTTGATCGCACTCGCGTTCTTTTTCGCTCGTGGATTTATCAAAACAGGGCTTGGTAACCGAATTGCGTATCAATTCGTGTCTCTGTTCGGGTCTTCTTCGTTAGGGTTAGGTTATAGTCTGGTTTTTAGTGAAGCTTTATTAGCACCGGCGATTCCTTCTGTTTCTGCACGAGCAGGAGGGATTTTTTTGCCGTTGGTGAAGTCGCTTTGTGTTGCTTGTGGAAGCAATGTTGGTGATGGAACAGAGCATAAGCTTGGTTCATGGTTAATGTTAACTTGTTTCCAGACATCAGTGATTTCGTCTTCCATGTTTTTGACAGCTATGGCTGCGAACCCTTTGAGTGCTACTTTGACATTCAATACGATTCAGCAGACTATTGGGTGGACGGACTGGGCTAAGGCTGCAATTGTGCCTGGGTTGATTTCATTGATTGTTGTTCCGTTGATTTTGTATTTAATTTATCCGCCAACCGTGAAGTCCAGTCCTGATGCTCCTAAATTGGCTAGGGAGAAGTTGGAGAAGATGGGACCCATGACTACTAATGAGATTGTTATGGCTGGCACTCTGCTTCTCACGGTATGGTTTGCGTTTCTGTTTTATATCTGTCTTTTGCTTATTTCATTCTGCTGAATTTGGTGCAATGGTTTGTATTGCATGACTCCTCAAATCCAATTTCTTGATGCTGATTCTCATTTTACTCTGTTTTTTAGGAATAGCTGGTTGGATCATCAGTTGTTAGTTAGCGATCATTCTTCTCTGCTTTCATTTATTTTTAGCTGAGTCGTATTGTCCTTTGGACATTTTGGAGAATCGTTTGACCTACAAGACATGGCAATTGGGTCATTGAATTATTTTTGCTTGTATTGGGTCATTCTTGGTAGTATGCAATAACGTTTAGGGGAATGATGTTTTTTTAGAGACTGGAGAATTTTTAGCTATATTTTGTCTGCATTATTGATGATAAAATCTTATGTCGCATCAGTCTAGTCCTGCTAGTTTGCTTTCTGAGAAGTTATTTTGTGTCTTAGATGTAAAGGAACTCTGTTCTTCACTGCTAAAGTAACACAACAATTCTGGTTTTGGGTTCTCATACCACCTCATTTGTTAGATGCAAAAGGCTCCAAAGGTAACAGATGGTTGAGGATTTTTTGTTTTTTTTGGAGGAACGGACATCTGTGTTATGTTGTAAATCTATACAACTTGATAGCCAATTCAGGGCTTTGAGAGATTTTCTTAGCACTTGCTTGTTCTTTCCTTAGAGCTTAGGTGATTTTTCAACAATTGAGCTTCATTTAGAAGCATATCAGCATTTTCATGAGTCTGACATTTGAACTTAAGAGTTCGGATGGGTTGCTATCTTGGAAAATGAGATAATTATGGCTGGCACCTTGCTTCTCACAGTATAGTTTGCCTTTTGTGTTCAAATCTGCTTGTATTTTGTTTTTAAATCTGCCTTCTTAATTTTATTACGTTTGGAATAAATATGACTGATAAATATTGTTGGATCTGCTTGATAATGTTGTTGTTAAATGGCATAGTTTTTGCTTTTACTGGTGTTGTGCGTGTAGCACATTTCTACCACAAGTGTAATCCAACTTCTGTTGATGCTTATGGATAGTTGAGTTTGTTTCTTGGTTTAAATGTAGTGATGTTACTAGTTCTGGGCCCTTTTTTGGGTAGAAACTAGTACGTCAGCAGTAAATATATTGATACTGACTTTATCATTGGAGGATTTTTAATTCTCCTTGATTGGGGCTTTTTTTGCAGATATTCAAAACTTCTATTGTAAGCCTGGAGTTTCTTAGATTGAGAAGAAGTCCAAGCATAGGAACATATTGATTAACCACTATCCCAAACACTAAATAATCTTTTATTTATATATCTTGGATTTTAAGTGTTTTCATCCAAATTTGATGCTCTCTCACAACAAAAATTTGGCAATTGAGCAAGCGCTATATCATGTGAATTACCTTCTTTTTTTCCTTTCTCTCTTTTGCTCTATGCTAATCTAATCACTAATATGATTACTATAAGTCTGCTATAGAGCTTATTTTTTTGGCGCCATGCTCATAATTTAGCTGATGTACTTGTTTTTGTGCTGTCTTGAATTCTACATAGTGCTTTGTGAGTTGATCCTGCATTCTGCCTCCAATAATAAAGATTCCTTCATTTCTTCTCAATTTAGGTGGGACTTTGGATTTTCGGAGGGATGCTGAATGTGGATGCTGTTACTGCTGCTATTCTTGGATTGTCTGTCCTCCTTGTCACTGGTGTAGTGACATGGAAGGAGTGCTTAGCCGAAGCAGTTGCCTGGGATACCCTGACATGGTTTGCGGCCCTCATTGCCATGGCTGGGTATCTCAACAAATATGGTCTCATCTCCTGGTTCAGCCAAACTGTAGTTAAGGTCGTGTTTTCCTGTTTACTGGTTTTTCATTGCGCATGGTTATTTCCAATTATCAGTGAGATTATATTTATCATATATTTCAGTGCCCTCCTGCATGTTGACTCCCACAGAAGGCAAAAAATGAGTTTTAAGCAACTTTTTTCTGAAAAATGAATGCATTTGTGAACATGTGAATTGCAACAAACAGTAGAATTAAGTATGTGGACCATGAAGTACTCGCTGTTAACTATCTGCACTTGTTACAGTTCGTTGGTGGACTTGGTCTATCGTGGCAGCTATCTTTTGGCATTTTGGTCCTTCTCTACTTCTACTCCCACTACTTCTTTGCCAGTGGAGCTGCTCACATTGGTGCCATGTTTACAGCATTCCTGTCTGTTGCCAGTGCTCTGGGTACCCCTCCATATTTTGGAGCCATCGTTCTTGCCTTCCTTTCTAACCTCATGGGCGGCCTTACACACTATGGAATTGGATCCGCACCTATTTTCTATGGTGCCAACTATGTACCTCTGGCCAAATGGTGGGGCTATGGGCTCCTCATATCTGTTGTCAACATTATTATCTGGCTTGGGGTTGGAGGAGTTTGGTGGAAGGCCATTGGCTTGTGGTAGTAGGGAGCTGATCATGAAAATTCGCCGACCCAAAACTTGTGGTATCACAATTCCTCAGAAGCGACTTTCACATCTTGATTTGCTGTCTGGTGAAAGGCTTGTAGTTTTTGTTCTGAATCTTTTTCATAGAAATAATCTTTTGGTGGCCTTGGTGGAGACCTCTGTTAGAAAGATGGTATACGCTTAGTCATATTGTAGCAGAAATTATAACCTGTACCTGAAATTGTGACAAGGCGTAACAACTGCCTGGAATTCATTACAGAGCAATCCTGATGCCTGAATATATTCTCTCCGTCTCTATACATAGTTTCTTGGTGGCATGAGGAAGGGATGATCATGGAGACGTGCTCGTTCGCTTGGTAATTTACCTTCTTACGTTTTTCTTTTCTTTTTCTTGGCAAAGTGGTTGGAATTTTACTTGAAGATTATGATTGCCGTGGAGGTGTTAAATCCCATTACAACCTTCTTATTTCCCATAAATGTGTTGGTTGTCCATAATTGCATGTTATTTGTTTCCATGATCCATGACTCATAGATTCATCTCTATTGCATTGGAATTTACCGTAAAAAAAATTATTTACATCAATATTTTCATTGACAATTGCTCAACATGTTTGGTTATAACTGGCCAAAGCAGCGTCATGGCTGGACTAGATTTGAAAAAAGAAAAAGAAAAAGAAGACGAGTTAAATTTTAATTAATTTGATAATGCAATAAAAAATAAACAGCAATAAAAGGTAAATGGAAAAAAAAATATTGCAATGGACAAAGCTTAACATGTGAAATTTATAATGTGAAATTTTTAACTTGAACATGTGAAGTCTATGATTTGAACATGAGATGTGTCTGCGTTTAGATCAAGAGGAAGAAATAATTTTGACAGGAAAATAAATTGATTGGAAGGAAAATAAATTGATGACAAATAAAATTAAATTTGCAAAAATTAAAAGAGAAAGAAAAATAAAAATATTTAATAAGGTAACATGGGTTATTGAACTGGTTGTGTTTAATGAATATGTTTATTAAAATTAATTTGTAATAAAAATTGATAGACACAAAATTTATTGAATATAACAAAAAAAACAAAATATTACATGACATTGCATATATTAAAAATATCATAAAAAAGTAAACATTCTTAATTTATAAACATAAATTTAATTTATATGAAATACATAAAAAAAATTACAGTTAAAGCATATTAACCTCATAGAAAATTAAACACACTAAAAAATAATTACCACTTAAAAAAGAATAAATAAGCTAAAAAATTGACATAGGAAGGGTATCAATTAAAAAACAAACTTAAAACATATTTAAAAAACAAAAAAAAGTATCAATTAAAAAAATAAAAAAAATACTACAAAAAAAAACTCAGGTACTTGGATTTTGAAACCCAAGCCCGCATGCCTAGGCTTCTAATTTTTTTTTTTCAAAGAAGTTGCCTTATTTTTCTAAAAAAAAAAAGAAGGAATAGGTAGATGACGTGTCGTCAGCCAACCCAGATCCTGACTACCACTATGGTAGATGAAAAATTAGGCCAATGAGTTTTTTAATTCAAAAAACTTATTTTCAATTTATTTCAACTACAAATCCTACGAATACTCAACTTATTTTCAATTTATTTCAACTACAAAACATCCTACGAATACTTTTAGAATATCAAGAAACTAACCTATAAACCTATTAAACCCCAAAAACGATCCATACCACTAAAACAAACCAGAAAAAAAATTGTTTCCTTGACCTTTATATAGTTTTTAAAGCTATTTTTAAACTTAAAAGAACCACCATAAGACTCATCTTACCTATCAAAATCCATTGATATAAATTTTAATCTATTTGGTGGTTGAAATCATCACCAACTAAGAGTCTTATTTCTCTTCGTTGGAATTCGATGACTTTTTTCTCTCCTCCCATTAAAAAGGACCTAAAAATGAGCAAAATAAATTTTAGCATCAAAATGTAATTTTAAAAAATTAAAGGGATTGGTCACCTTATAACAAAAAAGATGGGGGGCTAAAATATACTTTACAAAGAAATTTGAAAGCGTTATCTGTATTGTATTTTTCACTTTAGTCCCCTGTTTTTCAATTCATCATTTTCTTCCAAAAAACAAATACAATTAGATACTAATTTGGGTTCAAAATAAGTCAATTATGCAAAGAAAAAGTTTGAAAATCAAATCAATTTTTTTAAAAAAAAACCCCCTACTCCAATCAACAGTGATTTATGTACCCTTTATATATATATAGACACACATATACACACACTTAATACTTAATTCCATCACCTGATCAATAGTTACATTTCCATCTGTTGATTCATGGTGATAGATTCATTTTTCTTATTGGTACATGTTTCTTTCCCTGGGGTAATATTTGGGTTCAAAAGCAATTAGCAGTTGATTTGATGTCTAGGCACCCTTAAGTAAAGGGTTTTTTTTTTTTCTTTTCTCTTTTATGGTCATCATTCTTACATTCATTTAGGTTCGGAATGAATGTTGTTTTCCATAGACTATTGCCAAGACTACATATCTAAAGGTAAAATTCATTCCATGGTGTAACAAAACATTTTGTCTAGGTAAAGGGATAAATGATATGCAATCTACTATAATTAAAAGGAAAGGAAAATAAAATAACACTCTAGAAGGATGATCATCATTTTTCCCTACGAGTAAGGAAAGAAAGTTAAATCCCTAAATACGATGTTTTAAGACTCAGAGGATATCTTCTTTAGCAAATTGACTTTGGTTAGAACGTTGGATTAGATTTTCACGGATATATTCGTATCTTAAAATCTAAAGATCATTTAGCAAGTGAGGTGTAGGATCCTTAAAGGAAGATTTTGGTAAGTGAAAGTAGGGATCTGTCCAAGTTAAAAACAACAATCTACGAAGTACTAACCTTATCCTTCATAAGTGGTGGATACTACTGGATTTAATAGTTTTATTAATAGAAATTTATATTGGTATTTATATTTACAGTCCATCAGTACGCATTTTATTGACGAGCTCATAAATGAAAATAGTATGTTGGAAAAACTCTCGTCGGTAATTTTTTGTTTGTCGATGAATCTGCTAATAATAAATTTCCTAATAGATTTACATATGGATAAAGTGCACTAAATTTTTTTTAACTCATTTCATCCCGTTGATATTTCTCTTAGGAAGTTCGCCATATAACCAATGGAATACTGTATGCAATTTCATCAGTGTTTTTATTTGTCTATTGGTACATTTGTCAGTAAATACAACATATTACCGATGAAATACCATTTATAATTCTGTCGGAGAGTTAAAAGTAGCATTGACATTTGTAGTAATGCCTTTTCAACTCTCTGGAATATATTAATGAATGTGGTCCCGTTGATAACCCTTTCAGTAATATTTTAAAATATTTTTTAAACAAAATATATTGAACAGAAGTAGAAAAATAATTAAAATAAATTAAAACCAAATATATATAAAATAATTAAAATAATATAAAAATTAAATCTTTATTATAAATTTAAATATTTGTACATTCAAACGCTAGAGGAAGAGAAGGATGATGGTCGTCGCCGAGACCATATGGCTAATAAAGAGGAGAACATGGATCAACCATGTTTATTCTCATCTCTATTACCACTTGATGAAGTTATTCATAATCCGCAGTGAGTTGTTTATATTTTTCCATTAAGATTACTCATCTGATCCTATACTTGTTGGTCTAACATCACCTCGGACTCAAGAGCTTGATTGCTCAGAATTGATTACTGAGTTGTTTATATTTTTCCATTAAGATTAGTCATCTGATCCTATACTCGTTGGTCTAACATCACCTCGGACTCGAGAGCTTGATTGCTCATAATTGATTATGAGCATCCAATCATCAAAACACTATGGGCTATCTGCAAGTTCCCGGCCGTAGTGTTAGAGAGTCCATACACTCAATTTCTATCGATCCTACTAGACAATCCTGCTTCCAACCACAAATTCGGATCAAGATCTAGATGGGTTGAAGAATTGTCCTTGTATCTCTTCTTCAAGCGGCTATTATATGTATCCAGGAAAGAAAAAATAAATTCATCAAATTGAAGAAAATAATAACTTATAAAAAAATGGTTGAAACCTAACATGCCATAAAGTGACGAGCTACGCACATGCGTTTCGACAAAAAGTTCCATCAGGTTTGACTCCCATCCAAGAACCACAACCTGCAAAATAAAAATATTGTCAGTTAAATATATTTATAAAAAAAATCTTATTATCCGCTTCATATGCGAAATGAATGGAACAGAGCTGCTGGTGTGCATGATAACATAACCATGAACATCGATGTCGATTCTCCGCACCGGACTGTGATCGTTGAGTAAAATGTACCGACATTATATGTTAAATGTAGTCTACCCATACAGCTTCTAAGATATATGGTAGTCTAAAATTATTCCAAATTATCATGTCATTCCAGGCTGAAAGCTCTCTTTCTCTCGTATATGTTTTTGCTTCTTTTTTTATGTCTCGTACCAAAAATCACGCAACTTATATGTTACCAATAAATTATATGTTAGTAAATGAATAAATTTAAATATTTTAAATAAAAAAATTATGTTGATTTCAATCTTACCAAATTACAATATGATTCTCTTAAACCCTCATTGCAAAATTATCATCAATTTTGTTTCATTCAAATTTTTCCTTGCAATAAAAATTTATAAAAGAAAAATTTCAGTAATTTCATTAAGCTAACCTAATTAATATGATAAAAAAATATTTAAATTAATACTAACCTTAAACCTTGAAAACCATGCATCGACCTACGGTTTTCATTTAGAATGTCAAGAGACATGGCTTTATTGAACAATGAAATTTTTATTAAAGATTTAAAGGTTGATGTTATTGTACTTGTAGCCTTAATTTTTGTAAACATGAAATTGCATTCGTTAAATAAAATTACTTTTTAAAAAATTATTAAACATGTTATTGTGAAAGCAAATCAAACTTACATTGAAAGGTTGTCTTTCCACTGAGTCTCGTGCTTACGAGTAAATGGATTCCATTGTGAAAGGACCCTTCCTCGATATTATGGCATGACACTCGATGACCTTGTGTAAAATACCGAGAAAAAAATATAATAAGGAATAAATTAAAATGTTATTATATACGTGATCAATAAAAGTAATAATTAAGAAATTAAATAGAAAAATATAAAGACATAAAGAATGTGATTCAAATTGTAAATAAAAGGAAAGAATAGTGGCTAATGTATAATTAGGAAGAATCGGGGCTATACATACCTCATTCATCCTTCTTTCATAGTCGGCTGGAAACAAAAAAAAAAAACAAAGAGGGAAATAATGTAGATTTTCTTTTTCAATAGAGAAGGATAAACACCAAGTCACTTAGGAATACAACCTAAAAACTCTAAATAGAGAGGACAAGTAATAACAATGGCTCTAATAAGGATAAAACAAATGCAGAGTTGAAGAAAAAGAAGAAGGGGTCGGCTACATGCTTGAGAAAAGGGGCCAAAATATTCAATTTACGTAAGCTGAAATTTTGAAATTTCTAAAGGTATGGACACTAGACTTGATTGTATAAAACAAGTTAACAATTAAATAGGAACTATATACAAATTTTAGATTTTATAAATTAGGGTTCTTGAAGGAAGATTGAGGGAAATGCAAAAATTGATAGAAATGAAGTTAGTTAAGCTAAATAAGATGCTCTGAATTTGAAAAAAACACACAAAATTTTTTTTTAAAGAAAGAAATCATTGATTCCGAATTAGAGTGGCCGACCATATGAGAAAAGGGGAAGGAAAGGGATTCTGAAATTTGAGGTTGATGAACACTTATGGCATGTGCAATATGTAGACAATGAGTGTGTGTGGTAAGAAAAATCAGGTAGAGAAAAAGAAAAGAACGAAGGGGATCTTTAGTTCCCTTATACTAAGATTAACCAAGAGCCAAATAAAGAGAAAGAAGAACAATTTTGGTGTGTTATGTATGTTTATGTAGGAACCAATTATGGAAGAATGCTCACTTAGGAATCACCTATGTTCTAGATAGATTCATCACCTCTGTTTTAGGGGATTTCAGGCCTCAAAACGATAAAATCCAAGAAACTTCTCTCATAGAAATTGTAGCTTGAGATGTTAGCTTTTTAATGAATCCAACCTCACTCAATTTGGAGCTCTAGAGCTTCAGATATTAGTAAAAATATTAGTAAAGGTCAAGCTGCCATCCCTGTTGATAGATCTAACGGAAATTAACAAAATAAGGGATTTAGCTTTGATATGAGCAGAAAACCATTTCTTCCCACCAAAATTCTTGTAACATTGAACCTTAACACCAGTAGGGGATAAACTATATTTGAAAGGTAAAGTTGATGATGGGCGTAATGATTTAAAACAAAGAAATGTAAAAAGCAAACGTTATTGTTGTTGCCATGCTATTTATGAACTGGAAATCAGCCATGAACTAATGTAGTATATTTGTGAATTCAGGAGGAACCACAAGGGGAATATAGCAACAACAAGGGAACACAAATTGAGAATTGGTGGTAGGTAAGTGTTCTATGCCTATACTCTCCTTGGTTGATAATAAATTTTGTACTCAAATTCATGCTAGAAATCATTTTCATGAATATGACAAAAGAAAGGAAAGATATGGTGCAATGGACATGAAGATTTGAAATATGAATTTTGGTTATAGATTTCAGAATTTGGAGTTCAGATATGGGTCTATGTTATGTATATAACAACAACAAGACAAGAAAGAAAAAGATTTCTTATGGACTTGATTAGCCGACCTTGAATATGGGTGGCTAATGATGTTAACAAATATTATTAACATATGCATGACCTTGATGAAAATAAAATGAATATTGAACTTGATCAACTATTCACATCAAGAATAGTTAATGATACTAGCGAATATTATTGATATCAACAAGCCCACAATAACTTGATTAACTTTCTAAAGAGGAAGTTAATAGTGTCAAGAGAACTTGGCATCAACATTACCAAAAATATCTCTAAATTTGATGAAGAACATTTGATTAGCTATTTTGGGTTGGAAATATCTCAATGGCATCTACTGATTAAGTTGGTGTTGGCATTGCCAAGGAATTGACTAGTCGATCAGGTAAAGGTGACTAATGACATTAATAGGAGTTATTAGTATCAACAGTAACCACCTCAAAATTTGAAGTGAATAAGAAAAAGGGTAAATCAGACAAAAATAGTAGTAATTAATTTGTGATAATAAAAAAGAAAACCATGAGTAGGTTATGGAAGGATAAACGTTAGGTGTAACAAATGATCTTCTTTTACAGATAACTATGATTATGCTCTATCAAGTGGGTACTTGTATGCGTAGATATATATAGTAGTGACCTTCCATTATTTGGTTGTATTTTATTTATTTAATATAATTATTCTTTTATTTTGATGTCGTAGGCCCTTCTCATTCACATCAAGAGTAGAATTTAGGTTTTTTTTATCCCTTTTTGTATAAGTTTGGAACTTAAGGATTATCCATATAATTTTGTTATGCAGTATATATGTAACCTAAATATAATAATATACTCCTTGTATTATTCTGTGTTTGGAATATTAAATACTTTAATATATGCTTGAGGATATTATGATATATTAGTTTATGTTTAGGAAGCTAAACTAGGTTGTGTTTATATATGGAATTTCAATGCTTGGATTATCCTCTTAGTTACTAATTTATGCATTTGATATAAGATGGAGATGGAGATTAAGTATGCAGTTTTGTCCTGAGTATATTCTCAAATGAATTAAATGGTTGAATTGGACCCATTGTGGATGAGATTATGGATGGATTGTGATCATAAATACATGTAGGGTAAATTGTAAGGTATCAATAAAAATTAATTTCCAAGTTATTAATTTTTAATTAATCATCATAAATCCATAATAAAACCTAAAAATTATGGTCATAAAACAAAACTTGTCAAATTCTTCCTTTCATAAATTGGACAAAACAGTGGGCTAGGCTAGAGTAAATAATTGTTCTCAAACCAGTTTTAAGCCTAAATTTAAATTGATAAAAAATAATATTTTATGATCCAAAAACTTATTTTACAATAAACTCGAACCTAAAGTTTGGCTCGAGGCAGGCCGAGTTGACACAAGTGTGAGTTTAAGTTTAAAACTCACTTTGCCTAGAACATTTTCTCTTTATGGGTCAATTTTAACTCTTCAAGTGTTCATTTTATAAATATTAGGAAAATTTTGTTTCTTTTCAATATAGAATAGAATTCTTGAGAGAATTTTAGGTAGATTTTGGGTTTAGGGTTCTTTGAAATCAATTTCTCATTCACTAATAATTTATTTAAATCATGATAATATTCTATATTAAGGACTATGTATTATATGTATTAGAGATTAATTTTTTTTTAAAAATTAATCTTAAAATTAATTGGACCTCACTTTTAACTTGATCTTAAAGATACCAATTAACTATGTTGTTTAAACAAATTTATAATAGTTTGTTTTAACTTAGCATTAAATTTATCTATTAATTTCTCTAAATAAATTTCTATCAATTTGTGGTTAAATGAATGATGACTTATTGTAAGACCTTACATTCCTCTCATCCTTTACACAAAGACTGGATGAATTTTAACTTTCACTAAAAGTTTAAAAAATATCCTATACTCAAAGCTTGTATGAGAAACCAAAGTATTTTAATGTTCAATGATCAGATTGGAAGTGAAAAAAAGGGCTCCAGATTGAAGTTAGAAGCAAAAGCAGTTGAGATCAAAGAAGAGCAGTTATGCCATTGCATTTTTAAGCTTTGAAAAACTAAAAATGGCAGTTTTAGGAGGTAGAGCAAGCAGCCCAATTGAGGGTGATGGTTGGCCATCTTACATCTTTCTATTTAAACGGCAATCGTTTCAGTTTGAGCGACTAGTCATGCATCTAGAGATAGCACAAGAATATTTAACGGTCAGTAACGACCCATTTAAAACACGATATCCGTTACCCTCCTCTTTTAGCCGCCAAAAGTAAACTACCTCCGCCCTGTTATTGATAATGGACATTTCTCTCTGTTTTAAACCTCAAAGCCCTTCTCTTATACCCAAACAAACCAACATCAACACAGACCCTAAAAGGGACTGGAATGCAATCATGAAAAACCACGCCAGGCTAAAAAATGACCATGGCATTCTTTCTACATATACCCAAATGGAATCTTTTGGCATTGCACCAAATAACACAACCCTGCCTCTCATTTTCAAGGCCTGTTCGAGGCTCAATGACGTTGAGAGAGGCAGAAGGGTGCATTCTAGTATTCAGGGTACTAACTTGATCAAAGATGTTCGAGTTGGGACAGCTGTTGTTGATTTCTATTGCAAATGTGGGTTGCTTGAAGAAGCTAAGCAACTGTTTGGTAAAATGACTCAGAGAGATTTGGTTTTGTGGAATGCAATGATATCTGGGTTTGTGGGCTGTGGTTTTTATGAGGAGGCAATTGGATTGTTCAGAAAGATGAAAAGTGAGGGTTTTGAACTAAATTCACGTACTTTGGTGGCATTGATTTTGGCGTGTGAGGGGTTATTAGAATTGAGGTTAGGGAAGGAGATACATGGGTATTGGTTGAGGAATGGATATTTTGATTGTCACCCTCATGTGGGTACTGCTTTGATTGGGTTCTATTTGAATTTTGATGTGAGAGTTTCGAGTCTTGTGTTTGATTTGATGGTTATGAGAAGTGAAGTGAGTTGGAATGCAATGATTACTGGGTTTCTTGATTCAGGGGATTCGGTGAAAGCTTTGGAGCTTTTTGTTCGGATGCTAGAGGATGGGGTTAAGACTGATTTGGTTACCATACTGGTCGTGGTTCAGGCGTGTGCAGAATTTGGATATCTCAAACTGGGGATGCAAATTCATCAAATGGCTATTAAATTTAGCTATAGTAATGATTTGTTCATAGTAAATGCATTGCTGAACATGTATAGTAAGATATCAAGTTCAGAATTAGCACGCAAGTTATTTGATATCACTACAGTTCGTGATGCTGCCCTGTGGAATTCTATGATTTCTGCATACATTGAATATGGATGCTATGAAGAAGCTAGTGATGTTTTTAATAGAATGCGAGAAGAAATAAGCCCGGATGAAAGAACTATTGTTGTTATGCTTTCTTTGTGTAGAGAGTTAGATGGCTTGAAAAAGGGTAAAAGCTTACATGCTTATGCATGCAAGAGTGGAATGAGGATGGATGTTTCTATTGGAAATGCGTTTTTGATCATGTACACAGATCTAAATTGTGTTGAATCTGCACGGAAGGTTTTCAGTGTGATGAGTGATGTAGATGTCATCTCATACAACACTTTGATCTTGGCACTGGCTAGTGCCCATTTGAGGGTTGAGGCTTGGCAATTATTTCAAATCATGCAAGCATCTCAAGTGGAACCAAACTCTCACACAATGATCTCTCTTCTTGCCGCTTGTGGAGATGAAACATGTCTGAAAACAGGACGGTCCATCCATGGTTTTTCAATAAAGCATGGTTTTGAAATAAATCTACCCTTGAACACTGCGCTTACTGATATGTACATGAACTGTGGTGATGAACCAAAAGCTAGAAGTCTTTTTGAGGCCTGTCTCGCTAGAGATTTGATATTGTGGAATGCTATGATTTCCAGTTACATTAAAATCAACCAAAGCAATGAAGCTTTGTTATTTTTCAATCGTATGATTTCAGAGGTGGAACCTAACGTGATCACAATCTTAAATGTTCTCTCAACATGTACTGACCTCGCCAATCTGCCTCAAGGCCGGTGCCTGCATGGTTATGCCATACGGAGGTTTTCCCCTTCTGATTCAAATTTGTCTCTTGCAAATGCTATAATAACAATGTACACAAGATGTGGTAGCATGCGAACTGCTGAAAAGATCTTTAAAAGCTTACCAAAGAGAAACATCATCTCTTGGAATGCCGTGATAACCGGCTATGGTACACATGGTCGTGGTTATGATGCCATCATTGCCTTCAAGCAGATGTTAGAAGAAGGTTTCCAGCCAAATGAGGTGACTTTCTTATCTGTACTATCTGCTTGTCGCCATGCTGGCATGATAGAGCAGGGCTTGGAGCTCTTTCATTCCATGGTTCAGGATTTCAAGATGATTCCTGCGCTTGAACATTATGGCTGTGTAGTTGATCTACTTGGTCGTGGCGGATGCTTAGATGAAGCTAGAGAATTTATCAATTCTATGCCTATTGAACCAGATGCATCAGTGTGGAGAGCACTGCTCAGTGCTTGTCGATTTCATTCTAACCCAAAACTAGCTTCTGCCATTTTTGAAAACCTTGTCAAATTAGAGCCAACAAATGCAGGAAATTATGTTTTGCTATCCAATATATACGCTGAAGCAGGTCACTGGTCAGAGGTAAGACAAATAAGAACATTTCTCAAAGAGAAGGGTTTAAGAAAGCCACCAGGAACTAGTTGGATCATCGTAAGGGATCAGAGTCACTCTTTTACCGCTGCAGATACATCACACCCTCAATCTGCCAAAATTTATGCAAATTTGAATTCTTTGCTGACCTTGATTAGAGAATCTGGATATGTTACTGGTTTTTATTTGGTATTTCATGATGAAGAGGATTAGAGTAAAATCGGGGTATGTGGTGCCAGAATTAGAAGCTCAGTTTTGTGTTTGGAATGATCAGCTTGAAGAGAAATTCTCTATGGTGACACTTACAACTTGGGGCATTCTAATGATTGTCATGAATTTAGTACATTTTTCAAATACATGGGAGTATCTCAGGAACGATTCTGTTGTTACTATCTGATTATTGCATCTGCTCATGCAAAAAAATATAGTTGAGGCAGGAGTAATGGGGAAGACAATCCTGATTCACTGTTAATCTGTTAAGAGGTGGAATATCTTGTAAGATTATGGAATTCCTGGAAAGCCTGAAAGGACCATTGACCATAAACCTGGATCATGTGGAAAGAGATCAAGAATCATCCAGGAGGTTGCAAGGCTATTAAGTCGCAATTTAATTGTGTATTCACTTGTAGGGACATGACAGGTACATATAGTTTTTGCTGTATATATATTTATATATATATATATATTACTTAGCAGAAACTATTTCATGTGAGAAAAGTACCATACACTTGCTTATAATAGTTAAATTATGATTTTGTTCTCAACCAAAAAAAACAAAGAATTGGTTTAAAGGGTAAAAAAGTCTTTTTAGGGGTTCATTTTTCATTCTAGAATTGTGCAGGAGAATCAGTCTTTTTATAATATTTTAAACAGTTGAATCACTTTATTGCCTTTAAAAGAGAGAAAAAAAATTAGCTTAGGGGCTTTTTTTGATTATATGCACAATGTGATTACTTTATTACCCTTGAAGCAACAAAATTGTATGCTTGACTTTAAGGGTATATTAGTTATTTCATATTGGTTTTTTAGCAATAATCAAGTGGTCTTGGGATGCTTCGGTAATTTAATTAATTAAAAAAAAGTTGGTTTTTTAGCAATAATCAAGTGGACTTGGGGTGCTTCGGTAATTTAATTAATTAAAAAAAAGTTATTTGCACGTTTCATAAAAAAAGTTAAGTGCCACCCCATCGTCTTTAAATAGAGTGTTGGGTTTTTTTTTTGTGTTTTATGATTCCTCACAATAAATAAAACTTTTATGGACGGCACGTGTTACTAAATAATCTTTGGCTTAGTGATAATGATTTTTTTTTCCTATCTCTTTCTTGCATTTTGCGCCTAGTTTTTCAACATTTCGCATCAACCCTTTAATTTGTGTGGCTTTTATGATATGATTTTTATTATTTTTTTTATTATTTTATTTATTTTAATTAATTTATAGAATTGAATTTTTTTTTCAATTCCCTTTAATTTGTGTGGCTTTTATTATATGATTTTTATTATTTTTTTTATTATTTTATTTATTTTAATTAATTTATAGAATTGAATTTTTTTTTCAATTTTATTCTTTATTGTTTTTCTTTAATTCCATATTTAGTCTGATTTTTTTATTTATTATATTTAGGATGATTTTTAAAATTAATTTTTTTTTAAAATTTCATTCTCTTTTATTATATTTACATATTAGATTTTATCCTCATTCCTTTTCTTACTTTTTTTTTTGTCTTGACAAGTTTTTTAAATTAATATTTTTTTCTACTTTCATTCTACAATATTAAATTAAGCTTATTAGTTGACCCTAAATCTAGGATTTAAAAGGTTGCATATTTAAAAACTTAACTCATATTTAAGATATTCACTCAAGTTTATTTATTTTAAACTCATATTTTTTAGTTTTATTAGTAAGCATTTGATTTAAATGGATTATAGTTTATTTATTTATTTTGCATTATATAGGATTTTTCATTAATTTTAAAAATTACTCGGATTATTCTGGTTTTTTTATTTGTTGATCTTTCTTAGATTTATCTTTATTTTTTAAATATATTTTTTTAATTAAATTAAATTGATTTTTCAATATATTTTTTAAATATTATTTAATATGTTACCACCTTTATTTTTTTTACATTGTTTTAAAGGTAAACAAAAATATTCAGTCTTTGGCATAGCGCAAAGAAAAAATTCATTTGTTTTGTTTTTTTATTTGAACTCATGTTATTCTGTTTCATCCTTCAATGTTTGATTTATTTAAATATTAGGATTTGTAAATTTATTTTTTTTGTTTTTTATATGATTTTTTATTAATTTTAAAAATAATTCGGGTATGTTGGGTTTTTTTTCCTTTGCTATTTTTTTAATTATATTATTAAATCAACTTGATTAAATTGATCTAGTCAGGTTAATTACCCGAGTCTCAAATTTTTTTTTCTTTAAATACACTGCCTTCACTTGAGAATACTTTTTTTTTATGTTTGAACCAATTCAATCCACCTTGCAGTATAGTACAGATCGTAAATCTAGGTTTGCTTGAGTTATTTTTTTGAATTTTTTTTTAACTGAATTTTTTTATTTTAGGCTTTGAATATTTAATTAATTAGAATTTAGCTTTCTAATTTATTTTAATTTGGATGTCATAGAGTTATCACAAGTTTATTATTTAAATTTCGAATTAATCTAATATGTTAATTTCTTAATATTTTCTTAAAAAAGTGGTGTCAAGTATGCCATCGCCACAATATTATAAAAAGATTTCATGCATTATACATCAAATTCTTAACTTTCTAACACCTTTATATTTTTGTTTTAAGGATGTAAATAAAATAATTCAGCCAGCGGTGGCTAAAAAAAAAAAAAAAAAAAAACAGGTTTTA